GATCGGTAGCCAGTGCAGCTCGCGGAGGATAGGTGTAACGTGGGTGTACCGGGGTGCACCCACAATCGCTCGCGCAGCTGTGTTCTGGACGAGCTGAAGTCTCCGAATGCTCTTCAAGAAGCTTGAAGACCTGTGGAATTCAACTCTGCTGGCTGGGGGATTCTGGGAGTTGAAGTCCACAATTTTCCCGAGGTTGGACATTGCTGATCAAAGGGAAAGGAGGAGTCTTAGAAAAAGCTGGATGGAAGTGAAGAGAGGAGAGCAGTGTGGCTGAAAAGCGAATTTATTTCAGGAGCGAAGGCCCCCTAGAGGGAAAGGGACCGGCTGGACCCCACCCCAGTCTGAACCCCAAACATCCGATGCTCCCACCAGGAGGGGATTGTGTTGAAATGTCCCCCCTCCCCTGCATTCTGGTTCTCTCTCTCCCTCGGCCCCTCTGGACATCAGCTCCTGGGGGGCCAGAGACCCCAGACCGTGCAGAGTCCAGCTGCAGCAGCCAAGCCCCCTCCGTGGGGAGGCTGAGCCCGTCAAGGGGGCGCAAAGCCCCATTCGCCAGCTGCCTGGCTGTAGAGGCGAGGCTGGCGGTGGGCAAAGACAGGCATCTCCTGGCGCAGGCGGTGCAGGTAGGCCAGGTCGATTTCGGCAAAGCAGAGGCCGGGCCCCTCCCGGCACTGGGCCACGATGCTGCCCCAGGGGTCCACCACCATGCTGTGGCCGAAGGAGGTGCGGCGCGGGTGGTGCTGGCCCGTCTGGGCCGCGGCCACCACATAGCACTGGGTCTCTATGGCACGGGCTCGCAGCAGGACCTGGAGAATAGAAGAGAGTGAATCGGCTGGAAGGGACCTTGAAGGTTTTAGATTTAGGTTGGATTAACAGAGTTGGAAGGGACCTTGGAGTTCATCTAGTCCAACCCCCCTCAGCCCAAGCAGGAGACCCTCCACCGTTTCTGACAGTGGGCAGCCCAGTCTCTTCTTGGAAGCCTCCAGTGATGAAGCTCCCACAACTTCCAAAGGCAACTTCTCTTCCATTGGTTGATTGTTCTCCCTGTCAGGAAATTCCTCCTTATTTCCAGGTTGAATCTCTCCTTCCATTCATTCTTCCTTCTCTGGACCTTCAGGGGTTTTGGAGAACAGCCTGACCCCCTAACGCCTCTCTGGGGCAGCCCCTCCAATATTGGAAGATGCTCTCCTGCCTCCCCTGGTCCTTCTCTTCCCTCGACTAGCCAGGCCCAGTTCCTGCAACCGTTCATTGTTATGTTTTACCCTCCGGTCCCCTCATCCTCCTGGCTGCTCTTCTCTGCCCTCTTTCTAGAGTCTCAACATCCTTTTTATAGTCTGGTGTCCAAAACTGGGTGCAGGACTCCAGGTGTGGCCTTACTAAGGGTTTGTGGAGTGGTATTAGGTCCTCAGTACAAGGTCTACTAGTCCAGCCCCCTACTCAAGCAGGGGAATCTATACATGTCAGATGCTGTTTAGAGCAGTGTTTCTCAACCTTGGCCAGCACAGCTGGCTGGGGGATTCTGGGAGTTGAAGTCCACCGGACTTCAAGTTGGCCAAGGTTGAGAAACACTGGTTTAGAGTCTTCTTAAAAACACCCAGTGATGGGAGTGCCCATAATTTCTGGTGGCCAGCTGTTCCACTGACACAAGAAGGAAGAGCGGGAGAGAAGGAAGCTGTGAACGTAACACAGGCAGTCCTCGACATACGACCACAACTGAGCCCCAATTTTCTGTCGCTAAGTGAGACGTCCATGAAGTGAATGCGACCTTTCTTGCCACAGTTATTAAGTGAGCTACACTGCAGTTGTTAAGTTAATAACACAATCGTTAAGGCTTCCCCGTTGCTTGTCGGAAGGTCGCAAAGCGGGATCCCTGTGCCCGTCATAAACACGAGTCACTTGCCAAGTGTCTGAGGTTTGATCACGTGACCCTGGGGACGGTTGTAAGTGTGGAAAATGGTCCCTTCTTTCAGGGCTGTTCTAATTTAGAATGGTCATTAAGTGAACTGTTGTAAGTCGGAGACTACCTGTAGTAAAGGCCGAGGGACTTACCTCCCAGTGGGCGGCGCCGGTTGTCACGGTGAAGGCTGACGGGTAGGTGAGGATCTCGGCGCCCGCCTGGGCCAGCGCCAGCGACATTTCCGGGAAACGGAGGTCATAGCAGATGGCCAGGCCCACCTGGGAAAGAAAGACGGGGAAGGACTGGTGAGAAACACCCGGGACCTTCGGCTGCTAAGAACTGAGTACATGTGAAGTAGCACGGCTGGTCTTTGACTTACGACCACGGTTGGGATTGGAACCCCTGCCACTAAGTCAGTGGTTCCCAAACTTGGCAACTTTAAGACTTGTGGACTTCAACTCCCAGAATTCTCCAGCCAGCACAGCTTCTTCTCCTCCTTCTCTTCCTCCACTTCCTCCTCCTTTTTTCTTCTCCCTCTTCCTTCTCCTCCTCCCCTCCTCCTGCTCTTCTTCCTCTTCTTCATCTCCTCCTCCTCTTCTTCCTCCTCCTTCTTCACCACCTCCTCTTCCTCCTCCTTCCACCTCCTCCTCCTCCTCTTCTTTTTCCTTTTTTCTTCTCCCTCTTCCTCCTCCTCATTCTTCTCCACCTCCTCCTTCTCTTCCTCCTCCTTTTTTCTTCTCCCTTTTCCTTCTCCTCCTCCCCTCCTCCTGCTCTTCTTCCTCTTCTTCATCTCCTCCTCCTCTTCTTCCTCCTCCTTCTTCACCACCTCCTCTTCCTCCTCCTTCCACCTCCTCCTCCTCCTCTTCTTTTTCCTTTTTTCTTCTCCCTCTTCCTCCTCCCCCTCTCCTCCTCTTCCTCCTCCTCCTTTTTTCTTCTCCCTTTTCCTTCTCCTCCTCCCCTCCTCCTGCTCTTCTTCCTCTTCTTCATCTCCTCCTCCTCTTCTTCCTCCTCCTTCTTCACCACCTCCTCTTCCTCCTCCTTCCACCTCCTCCTCCTCCTCTTCTTTTTCCTTTTTTCTTCTCCCTCTTCCTCCTCCCCCTCTCCTCCTCTTCCTCCTCCTCCTTTTTTCTTCTTCCTCCTCCTCTTCCTTGTTCTCTTCCTCCTTCTCTTCCTCTTCCTTCTCTTCCTCCTCCTCCTTTTTTCTTCTTCCTCCTCCTCTTCCTTGTTCTCTTCCTCCTTCTCTTCCT